AAAAGTGATGTGCTTTTCTTACTATGTATTGTGGCCATTAGTAAGACACTATGGTAAGCCTTTCTAATTCCTGTCATAAGTTAATTCTTAAGGCAGTTGTATGGGTTAAATAGCTGATTGTATGAATGAAAAGATGGAGACTCCCTAAGAATAAAATAATTTGCCAAAGAGCTGAAGTCAAGAGCTTAAGATATACCTGAATTCAAATTTGGTGTTTTTTTCATCACAGGTAGGGCATGTCACATGTTGTAATTCATAAATTGGAAGACACTGCCACCTCATTACCTTCTGGCCACCATGCCAGGATTCAAGTCCAGCATACCATATTTCTGACAGTCAAGTCTCACCTACCTTCAAATATATCTGGTATTTATCAAATATTTACTTTTTGCCAGACAGAGTTCAAAATGTTTTCTATATTTGGTATCTAACCTCTATTCCTTATCTATAAAAGTCTTAATTATATCAATTTCATAGCATTAATGTTAAATTAAATGAGTGCTAGGTATTTAGGAAATTTTTAATAGGTCCCATGAACAAACACAAAGCTTTATGCTGTCTTTATGTTAATGCTATCTTAAGTGTTCATGCTTTGGCTTTTGTATAAAAAGAGGGTGAGACTCAATACCCTTAAGATCCTTTATAGCCCAAATCCCTGTGAGACACAAGTGCTAAACAATAATAAAAAGAAAGTGTTGAAAAACAATAAGGCAGTTGCTGCAGGTGTCTTAGGAAGTTCTCCCATGAGAGGGGAATCACATGAGCACAATATTTATTTGAAATCTAAGTCTGGAGTATGTATAAAGGATGATCAAAATATATGGTGAGTGGGCCGGGGATTTAGCCCAGTGGTTCCATCGCCTGCCTCACAAGCGCAAGGACCTGAGTTCGATCCCTGGTACCAAAAAAAAAAAAAAAAATATATATATATATATATATATATATATATATATATATGGTGAGTGTCTAAATTTTAAAAAATTATTACAATAAAAGACAGGTTGCCATTAATCCCCCTCTAAATACTCACCACTACATCAAACACACTTATCCCATCATTCTTGCCACTATCTGAAGCAATCTGTAAGTCCTCTTTCGTGTCTTTATGAGGTGTGATCAAAAGAACAGTGAGCACTGTTGCCAAGTGCCAGCCAGTGGAAAAGCAGGCTCATAAAAGCATTACATGAAAGCACTGTGCAACTTCTGGCTCTTCCCCAAAGTCAAAGTGGCCATGAAAGCTAAACATTTTGAATGAATTCAGGACATCAAGGCAGCCATAACAGCACAACTCATGAAAGAATTTCCAGAATGGCTAAAGACAGTGGCAAGAATGACAGGACAAGTGCATTAAAAATGCAGGGAGTGTTTTGAGGGGAATTAATTGGCAATGTGTCCTTTACTGTAGTAATTTAAAAAATGTAAATATTCATTATATTTTTCAATCACCCATTGTATTTTGATATTAAGAAGTGTATTATGGTGTCTGTTTTAAAGACACCAAAGAACTTTTAACAAAAGACTAATGTTCTTTAATGAAATTCAGTAATTTGGATTTAGTTTGAAATCAACTTTATAAAATGCATTAAGTGACCAGATTGAAAAGGACAAATAATACGTTATGGAATGTAGTAAAAGAAAAAAGACAGCAGGCAAGTAGATGGGAGATTATTAGAGTAGAGAAAGGAGCTGGTGTGGTGGTACACACCTGTAATTCCAGCACACTGGGAGGCTGTGGCAATAGTATTGCAAATTTAAGCTGAGCCTGGGCAACTTAGAGATTTAGTGAGACCCTGTACCAAAATCAAAAAGCAAATTTACAGACCAGGGATGTAGCTCATGCAAAGGCTCTGGGTTCAATCCTCAGGACTAGAGGAAGAAAAAAAGGAGGAGAAGGAGAAGCAGAAAGATAAGGGGGAAGGAAAAAGAGGAGGAGGAGGGGAGAGGAAGAGGAGAAGGAGGAGGAGGAGAAAAGGAACAGAGGAAAAGAATCAAGGCAGGAGGAAAGGGGAGTGGCAGGAATGGGAGCTGGAAATGATCAAAGTGTTACACCCATGCATGAATGTGCTAAAGTAAAGCCCATTAGTCTGTACAACTAACATGCACTAACAGAACATATTAAATAAAAAAAGCTAGGACACCTATTACTAAGAACATCCTAATTTATGGTAATACTCACACACTTTACTTTCCCCCTAATATGTGTTTCTTTCCTCTTCCCTAGCTAAGGCTGCACTATACCCAATACCTTCTTTTTATTCCCATCAGCTTTGTTATAAAATAAGTAACACATCCTTATAACACCCAACATGCCTCTTCCGACTGCTAGGATTACACAGAAGGTGGAACATTCTCAAAACTTTTTTTGGTACACCTTGCTGTAACATGCCCTAATTTTGTATTATATCAACCAGATCCTATATCCCCTTACTGAATGGCCCACTCATTGAGTTGCCTAAGCTACTGTGACTAAGCTACTTCTCAAGTGTCTGGTTCCCATAGACACTGGGATAGCTATCACACTGTCAGGCATTCATTTCTTTATGTGCATGTAGGGGAAGGCCCAGCCGAATGCCTCCCTGACAATGCTCAGGAACACACCTAAATCTGTGCTCAAAAAAAAGAAGTCTTTCCACTGAGCTGCCTTTGGACTTCTGGGAAACAAAAGTGATGTAAGACATTCTGATCAGCTTGGTTATTATTACTGTTTGGAAGAATCCTGCTGGAGCCACTCAGTTTTACAAGGCTTGACTATCAGATTTGAGAGCACATTAGTGAGGAAACATCAAGTGTTATTGCATGCTTCTGGCTATGACTCAATATCCTGAGCAATGCACCTTCAAAAATCACCCAGGCAGGAAGGGGTACCTCTGGGAATTAAGAAAACAGGTCAATTTAGTTTCAAGCACAGAGCAAGTGCTCAACAAATGTTTAGGAAGAAATTAAACAAGTGTCTGAGGAGCTCCTGACCCTAAATCATGAACTATTGACCATACATCTGGCACCTCCAACCCTGGCCAGCTTGCCCACGTATCCCACCCCACTTTCTACCTTCATCCTCGCCTAGTTCAAGCAGGTATTTAATAGGCACCTCAAACTTGTCCAACATGAAACTTTCTAAATTAGTTTTTTTCCATCTCAGTAAATACAAACTATTCTCCAAGTTGCTTGAAATAAAAACCTAGGAATTGTCTTTCATTTCTTTGTATTATTTATTGCTCACTACCCCAATTTAAATCATTTCTAATAATTTCTAATAAATCCTTTTCTCTACCTGCAAAATACTTCTGAATCCAATCTGTTCTCTCCAACTCTACTGTTAGTGATTCAAATCACTACTAAAACTTCCAACCTGGGTCTCCACTTTTCTCCCCTTGTGTTGCTTCTCCACAGCTAACACCATTTGCAAAATGTAAACCAAACTATCTCACACCCTCCTTCAAAATCCCCCCATGATTTCTTGTAGCATGCACAGTGAGATTATCCCTCTGGACTACAGCTGAGGGGCCCTTTGGAACCTGCCCCCTGACTACATCTAGCTCTGGAAATGCCATCTTCGTCACAAGCTTGGTTACGTGGGACTCTTAGTCCCTCAACCAGCAAACGCTTTCCTGCCACTGCATTTGCCATTTCCTCTGCTTACAATGCTTTCTCTTGATCACCACGTGGGGACTGTAGTTCATTCTGACTTCAGGCCCACATCATACTCAGGAAGATCTTCCTCAAAATGTGGGCTTTCTGAAATTCTTTCTCAGCTCCTGTCAACTTATCACTGAAGGATAAATGTATAATGGGGTAATTCAGATTTCCCATACTTTAAAGAACATATAAATTTGGCTTTTGGAAAATATATGAGGTAGAACTTTTTATCAATGCCCTACTATGAGAAAACTATGAAATACTAATGATTAAAACTTTTAAAAAATGAACTTGCTGTACTTATAGGACTCACCATTCTTTCTTCCTTTCCTTTCTCTCTTTCTCTCTCTGCCTTTTTCCTTTCCTTCCTCTTTCTTTTTTCCTTCCTTCCTTTCTTCTCTCCTTCCTTCCTTCTTTTCTTTCTTTCTTTCTTTCTTTCTTTCTTTCTTTCTTTCTTTCTTTCTTTCTTTCTCTCTCTCTCTCTCTCTCTCTCTCTCTCTCTTTCTCTCTTTCTCTCTTTCTTTCTTTCTGGTTATGCCAGGGTCTTGCTTTATAGTTCAGGCTGCCCACAAACTCACTGTGTAGCCCAGACAATTCTCCTACCTCAGCCTCCTGAGTGCTGGGATTACAGGAGTGTGCCACCATGCCAGGAAAGACATTATTTAAAAAAGTATTCCACATATAGATTGTTGAGACTGAATGAAAAGCTGAAAGAAGCCGTGGATTTCTAGCTTGGGCTTGAGTCACATATGCAAACCAATAACTTATGGCCAAAGATTGACATGAGGTCAGTAGATAAGGGGATGTCCACCATATATTATTATTCTTTACCTACAATACAAGGTAGACATTATAACAACTCCAACATGGAGTTGTCCTATTGCCAGTCAGAAACACAACATTACATACCATTTATGTAAATTTAGCCTCATAATAAGGAACAAAGACATTCACAACAGGTGTTTTGAAAACAAAATGTCAACATTGCTAATCATTTAACACAATAGCCAGTAAAGTATTTGCTCCATTAAATATGAATAAAAAGACATGGCAAAAAAAATACTGCACTTCACAAACTATCTTTCTATGTTACCTATATATTTAAAATAGCATCCAATTAGTTTTATTCATTGGGATTTGAAATAAGAATGAACTTAATTCCATAAAAATCTATCTCATTTTAAAGAGCTAACTTTGTTCATTTTCATATTTTTTGCCTCACCTTATATATTTGACTTTACCAACAAGTTATTTTCCTTTTTATATTTTAAATTTATAACAATTTAAATTCCATTCATTTGGAAAGATAAAGTTGAGGCATATGCACTCCAAAGGAATTAAAAACCAATGCGTGTTGCACTCACCCTTCCATATCTGTTGGCATAGGACCCTGTAAGCAAGGAATGGAAAACGATGATCGTCTCGTCCAAGTCCCAGATGAAAACTCTCTGCAAAGGAAGAATCAAATCAATGTGTTTTTCCCTTGGCTGAAAAATACATTATTCATTTAACTTCAGCATTAAACAGTAGTCTTGAAATGTAAGACAAAAACCTTGAGTTTATTCTTTCTTTAAACTCAGATTCTACAGTAGAATCTCTGTTTCAGTTTTGGAGAAATAAAAAATGAACTCTAATCTGTTTATAATTTCAGAGATTCAGAGGGCGAATTGAAATCAATTTATCTTTTTTTAAATCTTTGATCTCTGCTCATTAAGAAGTGGGCAAAGATGTATTACTCTTATCAAGTTAAATCTTAAAACTTTGCACATAAAAATGAAGCTTTACATAATCCTTCCCCTTCAGTTAGCTATGGGGCAGCTACTGACAGGATAGGATATGTAGTCAACCTTCCGTATCCATAGGCTTTGCATCCAGGAATGCAAAACACTCAGAAGAAGTTGTATTTGTACTGAATGGGTAGAAACTGCTTTATTTTCCAAACAATGCAAGATAATGACTATTTCTGCAGCATTTACACAGTATTAGGTATTAGTATTAGAACTAATTAGTATTAGAACTAATTTAGGGATGATTCACTCAGGAGGACACACATAGGTTATATACAAGTATTGTACTAGGCCATTTTATATAAAGACTTTGAGCATCTTGGATTTCAGTATCTGCACAGGGGTCCTGGGAATAGTTCTCTGTGGATACCAGGGGATGGTTGTATATTTTTCTTGCTGGGTTTTTTCAGTCTCCAGGTTATACATATTTAACAAGCATTCCACTAAGCAGATACATCACTTATACTCTTGGACACATGGGGTATTTTTAATTTGATTTGGAGGAATACATTTCAAAAAAGTATTTGAGACACCACAAAAAGCCTCCCAAGCTGGTCTCCCTTCTTTTCATTCCCACTCACACCAGTACATGTTCATGCACAGAGATGCTGCTGGAAAAATTTCATCTTCCCAGTCAAAATAACCATGTTTTCCACCATCAGATTTCACTTTGGCAAAAAGCACAAACTTAATTGCAGTGGGTTCAAGGCTATGAAATCTACCACCCTTTCAGTTCTTACTTAATCCTGCCTGCTTTTGAACTCCACCAAAACATGTCTCATAAGGTGATTACCATTTCAGTTTAGAACATTCCAGGTTTTCCTGTCTTCAATTTCAAAGTGGATTTTATTAAGTGTTTTTAGGATGGCATTTCCTTAATTGAAATGGTCATGATACTGAGCAGTATGACAGAATTTTGTTTAAATAGAATTAGATAATTTTATTTTCTTAGATGAAAATAAATAGATGCTTTACCATCTAATTAATATGGAAGAAAATACCGAACTAAATAATTGCATAGGTCTATGGATGTAGCTTAGTGGTAGAGCACTTGCCTAGTGAGGTACTGGTTCAAACTCTAGCCTCAACCAAAAAAACCAATTATAACCTGTAGTTAATACGGAAGAGGGAAAAACTGCTTTACTTATTGTTAATATGAAGAAGAAAGCAACAACAAAAGCATTCGGATTCTTGATTATGGCTGTTTACATAGCAATTCTACAGAAGCACCAATTAGCTGTAGGATGCCTTGTTATTTACTTGGGTGTTGGCAATGACATACCTCAAGATCAGAATCTGGGGGAGGTGAAGGATTATTGTTTCTTCTTCCCCGTCCACGTGATTTCCCATCTGAGCCTCGGCGCAATCGATCAGAATCTGAATCTTTAATAGGTGTTGAAGGACTGTGGATTGTGCTGTACTCTGTAAGAATATAGGAAGGACTTTCATCTTTTAGCTCTATCACCATGGTGCTAAGATCAAGCTTGTTTTAATTCAGAGGGAAGTTTGAAGAGCGAAGTACCTCCTACATTTTCCTTTACTTTCATTAGTAAATAATTTTTGAAGTATCTGATTCCAAGATCTGTTTGGAGAAAAAGTGTGATCAAGAAGAAGTAAAATTTAATTGGAGGTGAGAGCCAACAGACGGTGCTGCTCGATTTTACCCTTTGAGATTCTCTGTAATCAGAGAGTGCTCCCCACCCTATCCCCATTCACTTCTCTCTTTCATTCCACAAATGGCACCTGGCCATACTGAGAGATTTATGCATTTGCTTCAGCTGTGGCTCTCCCAGCTACAAAAAGGAGTCTGGTTCATGGAAAGAAATGAAAAGGGGAACCAGCTCTGTGGCAGGGAGAACTTAGTCATCGGGCAAATTTGTCTTTGAAAAAATTAAAATCCCTATTTTCTTCCTCATTTTATGTAAGAACAAAGGAGTGACAAGATAAGCACAGCAGATGTGTACACAATGCCCATGCTTCCTATGGCACCCATCAATGGGTCTTCCTAGGTCTTATTTTCTTTGAACCAAATATCCAAAACCAACCAGGCAGCACATTAAAATTACTCATCTGGCCAACTCAGGAAAACCACTGAAATGATTACACAGAAACCACAAAATAAAGAACAGCTCCCAAATGGCTGGAAGGATGAGCTGAGTGGTGGTTTCGGGTTATGGGAGACTTTTATCCCTTGTTTAAAATGAATAAAAACACATCCACTCTTACCTCTTAGGTACAGTTGTTTTTTAGCCTATCTAGTATGTACATTGTATAATTTTTGCCTTTCCCAAATTCCAGAAGTCCAGTGTGCTATCTTTCCCTCCAATACTCTTTGACAACTTTCTTCATTAGGTAAGAGTGGAAATCTCTGAATCTAATTTGAAAAATGGCTATGCACACTGTGATGTTGTTGACACTGTTTTTCACCAAACAAAACAGTATGAAGAACAATTTTTAATATACTATAAGCCACAGCTGTGTTCCCAAGGCCATCCATGTGTCAAACTGTATTGTCTCAGCATTACTGAAATCTTTATTAATATACTATCAGCCATAACTCTACTACCAAGGTCACCAATGTGCCAAACTGTATGGTTTCAATATTACTTCCAAGCTTAAAAGTACTTCTCCAAAGCTGTATGAGTCACAGAAGATAGGAATAGACTTAGGCAGAGTAAATTCCATTTCTAAATCACATAAAGCAGCTCTATACCTCCACTTAATCTTAACACCTAAATAAATCTCCACCATTAGTATATAAGATTTTTGCATATCCTCTTTCATCACAAACAAGATGGAATTATTCCTCATATTAACTGGTCATATGTCATACTCATAAACCATGATGATGACATATAAGCTTATTAATTATGGTCAGAAAATCAAAACAACTCCACTCAATGGATCAGTTTATTTAGTTATTTGGGATGCACTTTTGAGCTAACTTATCTCACAGAACTGTTAATATACAATACTGGCTGGTTATAGTTAATCATTCTTTAAATCTACATTACTATTCTTTTATTCCAGAGGCAGATGGCTAAGATATCCTCTCCTTAAGATGCTCCCAACCAAGCATCTCCCTTCTATATTTAAAAAAATTAAGGACTAATAAACAAATATAATTTAAGTAGTTTAGTGTAGCCAAAGTTATTTTTAGAAGAAAAAGTCTTAGTATTGTATTTAAAAGAATATTCTACAATATACATCTCCATGAAGAAGCTGGGCAGCTGTCCTCAAGCCTCTTTAATGGCCTCAAAATGAAGCATTCATTTTGTAACTGGCAAAATAGGCATCTGATTTAATGTGCATTTTAACTACTTCTCTATGAAAATCTATCTTGAATTGTGATCTCTCCAACTTTTGGATATTCCTATTTGAGAAGAGCTAAAAGACATCAAACAATGTATTTTATCCCATTATACCTTTTGCCTTGACTTCTAGATAGTTTAATTTTATTTTCAAAGTAGTTTATCTTACCTAGCTTTTCTTAGCTTAGATTTCCTCTTGCTGATTGCCTATTCCTTTAGTTTTTGGTGTTTATCTTTCCTTTAAAAACAAATTAACTTTTAAAAACATTCATCACATTTATCTCATTTTTTTTTTGAAATAGAGAAGATATAGTAATTACTTCTGCTTCTCTCAAAAGAAAACAAATTCACTGAGCAAAGTATACAGGGAAAGTTTTAAATCATGCTATCTAATTTTTCTTGGTGGAGGAAAAAATCCTAAAAGATGGATAATCTGAAACTTTTAAACATTAAAGTGTATGCACTCATACCTTACAGGCCTCCCTTACTTAAGGAAGAGAAAATTTTAAATGGTGCAAGCTAGTTTTATAAAACCCTTCCTTTTTGTTCTGTGAGGTGGAATTAAATGCTTCTAACTCTTTTAACCAGCTTTTCTGACTAACTTCTCCTTCCTCCTACTAGTACAAAATAACTTAAATAATTTAATCTTCTAATCCACCAACAGCTCATGTTTCCTTAAAGCCCTCCACAAATTATTCAACTTTACCCTCACCAAGATAATGGATGTGAAAATGCATTTTCAAGAGCATTCATTTCAATTCAGAAACACTGAATGTTATGTTCACACTATTCTAGTCATTGCACTAGGATCCTGAAATACAAGGATGTACCAAAGAGATATAGTTCCTGCCTTCTTGGGGTTTAAAATTCAGAGAAAGGCATTGACCATTGGAGAAAAATAAAAAATTACAAAGTGATATGGAAAAGGTTATGGTACGGGGAATGTAGAATGCTAGAAGACAAGAGGAAGTCTACATAACTCAGATTCCCAGTTTTATAGAAGCTTCTTGAAAGTGGAGGACAAAATCATAAGTAAAGAAGGAATAAAAGTATAGATATTTTCTAGGCAGGGGCAGGAGCATGAGCATGAGAATGTACAGAGAGAAAACACATGTCATGTTTAAGAACTGAAAAAACAAACTCAATCTGACCTGAGTCTACAGAAGAAAAGAGCAACAAAGCTGGAATAAGAAGCAAAGAATTCAACAAGGAAGTGGGGGTAGCACCAGTGTAGCAGAGGACAGGAGACAAGTCTGAGAAAGGGAGACCAGCAGGAAGATAATTCAGCAATCCAGATGGTGGCCTAGACACTAGGGTAAGATAAGGACAGTGACAGATCTGAAGTGTCATTAGGAAGTGAAATTAATAACTGGATAATTGGATAAAGAAGAAAGAAGTCAAAGAAGATGCCTATGTGAGTGATTTGGAATAGGGTAGATTGTGATACTAATGGGATTTAGGGAGAAGAGGGGATTAAATGGAAGAACAGAGGGGCTGGGGATCTGGCTCAGTGGTTCTGCCACCTGGTGCACAAATGCAAGGTCCCGAGTTTGATCCCTGGTACAAAAAAAAAAAAAAAAAAGGAAGAATAGAAATGAGTCTTCAGGTTCTTTGGGCACATTAAATTTGAAGGGGTTGCAGGCATCCAGTAGGCTGCTAGACTGCTCTGGAGTTCAGGAAAGAAATGTGGACTGGGCTTGGATTCTGAAATTGGCCCTATATGTAATTAAAGAAATGAGTATAGTTGAAGGAATGCAGTATATGTAGGAGGGATGGACAGAGGAAGATAGTTGGATTGTAGAGACAACAACCAAGGTCAGTATATTACAGAGGAAGGATACGTCAAGAAAGACAAAATTATAAATTACTTCAGAGTAGCCAAGATATGTAAAATGAAGGCTGAACTCAAGAGTATGTTAGATTTTCAGCTGGAGATCCTTGGTATATATGGCAATAGTTTAGATTATAGACAGTAGAAAAGACAACAGGGATAAATTTCCTAAAATGTTACTGATAATCCTATAATGGCCAGATTCACTATTTTTTAGTCCTCCATCTTATCTGATCTCTCAGTGGCTGTGCTGCCCACTCTATCCTTTATACCATCTATATATCAGAACATCTTGACCTTCCTTTTTTCGGCTTCATACTATCCCTTCTCAGTCATTAAGCCGATGTTTAAATGTTAGTGTTTTCTGGGCAATACTCAAAAGAGATGATCTAGGACAAGATAGGATGAATACATCAGCATGCTAATCAGTTCAATACTTCCTGTGTCAAAAAGTGTTCTAAAATTAAAAACAAGTCAGTTAGAGTAAGCAGTGTACTTAGCAACAAAGTTGATTATTATATTCTGTAGCAAATTCCTTCTGTTAGGTTGGTTTAGTAATAAAAAAATGGACAGGCAGGCAGTGGATGAACTATATTTTGAGTCTTAGGCACTAGGGCTTCTCCCTAGTCCTCTTATTTTATTGTAGCTCTCAGTGGCTTGTCATATCTGTAAGAAGGACATCATGATAACCTTCAGATTGACAAGTCTAAAGCTTTACCTCCTCATCTGTTGACCCGAGTATTCTGCTGTTTGCAAAGTCACTGTCCTTGAGCATTTCATAGGCACAATAATTAAACTTGTGGCAGAATGAGTTCTCCTTCATTATTAACAGTTGACTAATGGTACTGGTATCTCTCCAGTTTTCAAATACAGAAACTCTTTACTGGCTCCATCAAAACAGGGCTAAGTTACATGGTTTTTACTCCTCAATACTTCTGGTATAGCTTCAAACTTTTATCATCTCTGGCCTCAGTACTTACAATAGGCTATTTATAGGATTGCTATCATGAGCCTTTCAACTATCTTCTGTGCCACCATCAGAGAGACTAAAAACCCATCAATGGGCTGGGGATTTAGCTCAGTAGTGCCACCACCTGCCTCAAAAGCACAAGGTCCTGAGGTCCTGAATTCGGAGTTCAATCTCCGGTTCAAAAAAAAAAAAAAAAACCCCCAAAATCAATGCCCAAAACGTACGGTATGGAACAGGAAGGGCAGTCTAGATTTTACAACACTGAATTATGGACTCAGCTGCCTCATTCTGGATGATAACCTCACTACTC